CAACCGTTATGTGAACAAAGTTATAATACCCTTGTGCACAAGTGCGCCCGGGTATAAAAACACATCCAAAATGGCACCACAAACAAAATGTTGGATCATAAATTTTAGACAGTCAATATATTAAAATCAACATCTAGGTATCTAATTAAAACAAAGGACTTTGTGAAACCGTTTAACTTAAAAGTTTTTTAAATATTTTGTTTTACGACCGAATCGTGCAATTTTAGTAAGTGCGTAACTATCAATTGATATTTTTGGTGTTGTCTGTAATTGAGTTTATCTTACAAACAGTTACTACTGCGCTTTAATAACGGTTTTGGCATAAAAAAAAATTTTATAATTTTTTTTTTGTTATTACATTTTGTTACGAGTCAATTTAAACTCTATGCATGTATCTACTGTCCAGGAATAATCTAAAAGGCTTTGCAGTTTTGTTTTACAAAAAACAAAAAATTATGAAAACCTTTCGTTGTAGAACAGTTGAAATTAGTAAGAATAGCGAGCTTATCCGAAAAGTCAGGCGATCTGCATTTGGTGTGTTTTTTTAATATCCAATCACATTAGTAGTTATCAGAAATATTTCAACTAAATCTGTATATTAATACGCTAACATAAATTTTGTCTCCGTTCGTTTGGCGATTCTACCGAACCGATTTCAAAACCAAGAACACCGTTGCAAAGGCATGAGCAGAGTTTTTACGGTTTCACAATTGGTTGAAAATTACGGCCAAAACCTTCGTTTAAACATTTTCGAATTGTGTATAGATGTTGCTGCAACATGTTCAATTTGACATGTTTCGCCTGTTGTTTCACTACAGATTTGAAATTAAGCTTTGAAGTAAAGATAAATATGAAGATGAAGAAATAAATGATAACGATCAAGTCAAAAAAAAGAAGAAAAAAGAGGAAGAAGAAAAGTGAAGATAAAGACGAAAATGGAGACAATGACAGATACATAAGAATTAGGGTAACTGAATGGGTAAGAAAATTTCTTGAATTTATGAAGTGAAACTTCTTTAGCGGAAGTTTGTTGGTTGGGAGTAAATTGTCAAATTCAAAGTGAATAATGCACATGGAAGTAGTTCTCAGTGTTTTAGCGGTTTGAGAATAAAAACAAAAACAAAGATGCCTAGAGGTACAGGCAAAAACGAAGATCAAAGTAAATTTAAACACTTTAAGGTAAAGGTGAAGGGGAATATGCAAAAATAAAGATGAATATGAAGAAAAGGATGCGGATGAAGATCGATACTGTGATCGACATAATAATCGATATTGCTATCGATAAAATAATCGATATTGCTATCGATACTGTTATTGATGAAATAACCGCTATTGTAATCGATATAATCAATATAATAATCGATATTTTTATCGATACAATAATGGATATTGTTATCGGTATAATAATCGATTAAATTATTGATTTTGTTACCTTTTTATTCATTTATATGGTTAACGATATGTACAATAATCGATACTGATGATTGTTATATTTATCGATGAATTAATCGATTTTACAATCGTTGTATTTTTCTATATGTTTATGGATATTGTTATCGGTATTTTTATCGACACAGTTATCAACAGGGTTATCGATACACTAATCGGAACATGGAATGTGATCACATTACATGACATCACATCACATTTTATCACATGATATGAAGAGACATCACATGATATTACATCACATAATATGATATCACATCACACGTTATCACGTGACATGACATTATATGATATGACATCACATTATATGGTATGACATCACATGACTTGACATCACATGATATGACATCGTATGACATGACATGGCATTACATAACGAGGCATCACATGATATGACATCATATGACATGACATCAGAGGATATGACAACACATGACGTGACATCCTCTCACATCACATAAAATCACGTCACATCTTATCACGTCTTCGCACCTCATCTCATCTACGTGAATAGGAAAAGAAAAGGATATAAGCAAATATGTGAAAGATAAAAACAAAGATGAAGACCAAGGTTAAGTTACCGATTTCAAAACCAAAAACACCGTTGGAAATGTAATTTTCTGTAGATGAGGAGAGTTTTTATAGTTTCGAAATTGGTTGAAAATCGTCGTTTAAAAATTTCCATATTTGTGTATGGTTGTTTTTGCAACCTGTTCAATTTAAGCTGTTTCGCATTTTGTTTTACTTCGTATTTGAAATTAAACTTTGAAATAAAGATAAATATGAAGATGAAGAAACAAGTGATAACGATGAAGACCAAAAAAAAGGCAAAAGTGAAGATAAAGGCGAAAATTGAGATAAAGGCGAAAATAGAGACAATGAGAAATACATAAGAGTTAGGTTAAAAGAGTTGAAATTTTCCGATAGGAATCGAAATAAAATCAGCCATAAAGGTTACTGAAAGTTATCGAATCATCGAAGTTTATAATTATCGAAAATTATCCATGCTTATTAAGTTATCACAACGTATCGAATTATTCAAACTGATCAATGTTTACTGAGTTGTCGAAATTTATAGACACAGAAACTTAGTTGTCCAAATTTACGGATAGTTATCGAGCTATAAAAACGTGTGTGTTTATCGAAATTTGTCAAGTTAAAGAAATGTATCAAGTTATCGATATTTATTGAATTATCATTATTTATAGACTTAACGAAATTTATCGAGGTGTCGTAATGCATGGAGTTCTTTCAAATTACAGAGTTATCGATAATTATTGATCTACTGAAATTGGTTGGTTCAACAAAGCGAAGTTTATGGAATTTTCAAAATATATCAATTTATCGAAATTTCAAGGTTATATAAGCTTATCGATTTATCACTGCTTATCGAATTTAATCGTCTTAACATAGTGTAACGAGTTATCAAAATGTTTAGATAGTTTTCGAGAAATGTGGAGATGTCAAAAGTAAAAATTTATAAAGGTATCCAATGTTTTTACATTTTTGAGTTATCGAGCCTTCGAATTTCACAGTTATCGAAATTGGTCGAGTTAAAGAATTTTGTTGAGTTATCGAATTTTAGTGTTCTTGAAATTCATCGAACTATCGATATGTATCAAATCATTGAAATTTATCGATAAACTTGAATGTATCGGGTCAATTCCAAGTCCAGCCGAAGTCCTCCAAAGACCTTCTCAGATAAAAAAAAATTTAGTTACGTTTTAGCAGAAGATTTTCCGGTTAGTTAATTTGTACCGTATACGTATCGCTACGTGTTAAGTTAGAAAAACTGTCGAATTTCGACAGTAACTGGCACTCTAGTTTAAATAAATGGGTGAAAGAAGTCGGAAATGGGTGCTTCAAAATTAGCGATACAATTATGGAATGTTTACTTTGAAAAAAAAAGGTAAACATTTCTCTTTTTAAATGCAAAGTTTGCGAAATTCGTAAAATTAATTTACGGTTGATTAATATTATTAAATTTATTCTGAAGATAAACTGTACCAGAAAATATTAACTGCAACAACACTTGAATACCAAATTTCGTCAATCGACAGTAAATTTGCTAGAAAATATCGGCAATGAGAGAAACTCAACTCCGCATAAATTTAATTTTGAAATGTGCCAAGCCATGGTTTCGGCGAATATTCCGTAGAATGTATTGGAAAATAGTTGTTGGAAAAAATTCCTCCAAAAATATACCGAGCGACAAATACCAAATGAATCAACAATAAGGAAAACTTACCTGGATAAGTTCTACACAGCAACGATGGAGGCCATAAGGGCAGACATTGGAAATAGTTATATATGGATTTCTGTTGACGAAACAACCGATTCAACTGGCCGCTACATAGGAAACTTAGTTGTAGGGACACTTGAACA